GTATATAATATATTTTCTATTATTTTATGTTTATATAGAATATATATATATATATATATATATATATATATATATATATTGAAATATACCCAATTTTTGTGTGTGCTTTTTGTTTTGTTTTTGTGTGTGTGTGTTTATTAGATAACTGAACTAGATATTTCTGTTGCAAATAAATGCTATTCTTTTGGACTTCCTGTTAATCAAAGAAAAAATGTATCAGTTTCCTAAATAATATTAAGCAACACAACTGTTTTTAACATTAATAATAATAATAAATGTTTCTTGAGCAGCAAATCAGTATATTAGAATGATTTCTGAAGGATCATGTGACACTGAAGACTAGAGTAATGATGCTGAAAATTCAGCTTTGCATCACATAAATAAATTATCGTTTTAAAATATATTAAAATAGAAAATGTTTGTTAAATTGTACTAATATTTCACAAATTTTCTCTTTTTACTGTATTTTTGATCAAGTAAATGCAGCTTTGGTGAGCAGAAAATACTTTTCTTAGCTGCTTGAATATAGTACTCATACTTTTTATGCCAAAATACCATGGTATTACCATCTGATACATCACTATACCAGTGTACCAGTTTGTTTTGCATTTGTAGCTTTATCACTTGCCCTCCAAATTATTCTTTCAGCCTTCCTCTTTCTCTTTCTTTCAGAGACTGCATTTGCCTCCAGACCTGTCAGAGACGGTGAGTCGAGTAAGTAAAACAGAACTGGCAGCAGGATGTGGCAACACTGCCACGGGCAACAAGCACCTAGATTTCTAGCGTATTCCCATTCCTCCTGCACACTGCACCCCCCCGTGATGTTCAAGGGCAAGAGAGCGCTGGAGCTGCACTACGCCAGCACTAGGTTACGGTCACACCTGCACTGACACACTTACTCTCATGATTAGTGTATGAGATTAAGATGGAGCAGCGTTTAGTAACTACACAACATGGAGAATCATGAATGAGATTAAGATGGAGCAGCGTTTACTAACTACACAACATGGAGAAGCATACAAGACCGTGATATTCAGTGTCACAAACACCTAGCGTTTTTTTTAACAACCTACCTGTTGCTTTCTTTGGATAAAACAAGAATGTGATGCAAATAACGATGAAGTAGTTTGACTGCCAGTGTCTTTTCAGTGCACGTCATGGCTTCCTGATGTTTATTAGCTTAGTTAGCAAATAAATATTGGGCGTCTATAAAGTTTCAACCAAAAATGTAAACAATGTCATGTTTTTATTCACGTTCAAAAAAAGGTTTGTGGCCGAAAACATTTTTGCCGCCCCCATTTTCAAGCTGGTTGATTATTTCTGGTTCGTAATGTTGTTCTGTTCAGGATATAATTAAATAAAGCAGAAATATATATAAAAATAGGACTTGACACATCGTTTCTTTCTTTTGCTTAGTGTTGTCATTTTGCCATGCCATGTACTTTACTGCCATGTTTATAATAACGTACAATTTTTTTTGCATAAAACCAATACTTAAATTGTTTGTGTTCATCATAGTAAGATTTGTTGTACTGCACTTAATTCCTGCTGTTTAACAAAAAACAATCCATTTACAGTTATGATTTACTTTAGTGAAGGAAGAAAAATACTGTCACCATTGAGAATAATGGTAATCATTTGTAATTATGTCCGAATACATGAAAGTAATTCAAGTTTATGAGGAAAATGTGCATAAATTGTCACTTAACTTAATTTTTCTTTACACAAATATATAAGTTTTTCTCCCTTTTGGGTTGAAAGGTGACCTGTTTTTCAAGTTTTACCATGTTTTTTAAAGCTGAACATGACCTATATTATATTATATTATATTATATTAATCTCGTTTCTCTATTTCTAAAACAGGCTCCACAATAAGATACTGCATTCATTTACAATTTAATTATAATAAGATCCTTATGCATTTATAATATTATGACTTAAATTTCAGTTGACATGACCCTGCTTGACTTTGGGGGGAATTGTACTTGTAATGTAAAAATTGCTGCACAAATTAATAATTTCTGCTTCTGAATAAATCTGCTTGTGAAAGCATATATTCATGAGCCAGGTAAGTGTTTATACACACATTAATGTTTCATAGCCTCATTTTCATTGTCTGTAAACAGATACAGCTGTATCAGTGTTCAGTGTGTTTATTGCTCTGGTCCGAAACAATGGATTTATTTTTATGAATACCCTAGTTTATTTTGAGATTAATATTATATTCACTGGTCACCTATATTATTTTGAATCATGTTTGTTGGCATGATTAATCAGCTTAAATAGTCATGGTGTTGTCACATGAATATATTTTAAGAACAAACATAGTTTATCAATTAATTTGAGCGCAAAACTGCATGTATAATAACACATACAAATAAAATATAACAGCTTTGTCCAAGTATAACTTGGCTTTAGTTGTGATTCGAGATGTCTCCATGCTTTTCACTTTCCATTGCTGTCTTGTAGGTGTGTTTGAGCAAACCTAGAGCTGTCCTGAAATCCCATAAGCCACTACCTGGCCCAGCAAGTGTCAGGACCAACCTACCACCCCCAAAAACCTTTCCACAAGGACACTTTCCCTCGGCCCCCCCGCTGAGACAGCAAGTGAAGCAAAATAACTCATTCTGCCACACAATCGCTTCATCTCTCTCTCCGCTCGCTCGGACCGCTTTATTCTTCTAGTTTCTTCCCTCTCTCTCCTCCCCCCACGCTCACTCGCTTTTTTTCTTCCTTTTAGACCATCGTAACTCTACCAAAACAAGAGCTGGCAGTGCTGAATGGCATAGGCCTGTTCTATTGTGGTGTGTTTTTGTGATGTCTGAGTTGTGTGGGGTCGGCTGGTGCCTTTGTTCACCAGCTCTTTGGTGATTATGAGGTATGTGGAGAGAAGAGGTTTTGACGCGCTGGTGTGTCTTTAAATGGGAATGTTTTTAATTAGGAATATTTCACTTGAAAATGATGTTCACTTTCATTGGGCGTCATATGAAAAGTTCTGCATTTTTTGGAAAATCATGAAGAAAGAAATGTTTTCAATTCTAAATGATTTTCTTGAAAATGGTGCTCGTTTTCATTAGGCGTCATATTAAAATTTCTGCATTTTGGAAAATCACGGAGAAAGCGATGTATACTGTACAAAATGTTTTTAATAGTTTTCACAAAATACATTTAGAAAGCTTTTAAATAAAGTTCAATTGAAATATCTGCAAGACAGGGTAGACCTTTCGTTTTCCAAAGCATTGCTCTGACACAAAAACCATTACAAGTGTTCATGTCTCAGGTACACAACAAAAACGCAGAATTCAAGAGATGTCAACATGTTTTTAAAACCACAAATGGTTGTCGATCATAAATAAAGGACTGCGTGATTAAGCCACAGCCATATATAGTCGAAGCCAGTGTACTAGAATGTAAAACAACTGTTTTCCTTTACAAAATGTATCGCAACACAAGACTAACGATAAAAAAGAGAAGATTAAGATTGTTGTGTAATAGATGAAATACAAAGGCTTTGGTCTGTTTTTACAATCAACAATGGTTAAAGTCTGATATGTACTTGTAAACAACTGCCAAACACTTTTTTAAACTCTGTCAAGCATTTTTAATCATAATTATCGGAATTAAATATTTCTAGTCTCACAAAATTATTTGACTGTAGGACACTATAATACAACTATACCTAATAGACAACTTGTACCTGACCTAAAGAAATGTTTTTCCTTTTTTTTAACGATGCATGAAAATCTGTATAAAACATTTATACATTTTTCTCGGGGGCAATAAAAGTCAGAATATATTTATGTTCCGCGATAATTCCGGGAGGAAATTTCTAGGGAGAACAAATACTTACAATTGGACAGTAGCAAAATGGATGAATGTTATTTTGATGTTATTATAACTTCCCGTTCCTCTGACGTCACAGTTATAAATGATCGAGCACAAACGGCCTCAGAATCCGTCTACCCAACTCCAAACCCTCGTACGTAATTATAAAGTACTCAGTCATTTACATAATGGCTGTTGTTCCTTTTGTAGATACAATAGTAATGTTATTAAAAAAGAGAAGATTAAGATTGTTGTGTAATAGATGAAATACAAAGGCTTTGGTCTGTTTTTACAATCAACAATGGTTAAAGTCTGATATGTACTTGTAAACAACTGCCAAACACTTTTTTAAACTCTGTCAAGCATTTTTAATCATAATTATCGGAATTAAATATTTCTAGTCTCACAAAATTATTTGACTGTAGGACACTATAATACAACTATACCTAATAGACAACTTGTACCTGACCTAAAGAAATGTTTTTCCTTTTTTTTAACGATGCATGAAAATCTGTATAAAACATTTATAGATTTTTCTCGGGGGCAATAAAAGTGAGAATATATTTATGTTCCGCGATAATTCCGGGAGGAAATTTCTAGGGAGAACAAATACTTACAATTGGACAGTAGCAAAATGGATGAATGTTATTAATGTTATTATAACTTCCCGTTCCTCTGACGTCACAGTTATAAATGATCGAGCACAAACGGCCTCAGAATCCGTCTACCCAACTCCAAACCCTCGTACGTAATTATAAAGTACTCAGTCATTTACATAATGGCTGTTGTTCCTTTTGTAGATACAATAGTAATGTTATTAAATGTTATTAATTGAAGCCATTGAGGGTTGTTTTTTAGCCGTTAACTCTCCCAGAGTGAAAATATCTACGAATAGGCGTTTCCTGTTGGTATGTTTCTGCTTCGCTGCTTTGATATGGGCCTGAAGTCTGATCCGTCATCCTGATATTAGAAAACAGTCACAATATGTCGTGCTTCGCCAACATATTTTTGGCTGTTGAATTGTCTTTTCGTCTTTACTTGTAAATGCCAATGTACAAATACGACAAAAAAAATGGAGATCGTGGATGTAGCAGAGGTTTGTTGTTTTTGTTCCATTAAGTCTAAGCGTCTGCTTTTCCTCTTAAAGGTAGTGCCGCAAAGTTTCCAGACCGTGACAAGAGTCCACACGCTTCCTCGTCCTGGTATTTGTTTGTGTGTGTCTGTGTGTTTGTGGAAATACTGCTGCAGAGGTCCAGGTTCTCTCTTAGTCTCTGTGTGGAAGTCAAAGGGCGAAGTAACTCTTTTCTTTACTGTAATCTTGACCAGTACTGAGACATGTCTGGCTCAGTTCCGGGAACTTGGACAGGGACAGACACTCCAGGGGAGATGAGTCCTATAAATAGAGATTGAATATAGGTCAGAAACATGATCGCTTGCAAACTTTAAGCTTTGATGTTATGTATGAACCTGGATTGAGACGTTGGTGTTGTCCGTTAAAGGTGGGGTAAGCGATTTTTCAAAAATGCTTTAGAAAACTGATTCGGGCCGAGTAGCAAAACAAATGTGTAACCAATGAGCAGTAAGGGGCGTGTCTACTCATGATACGGAGGAGAGAGCACTCAGTGCACAGGACGGACATTAGCGAGCCGAGCGACAGAAAGATAGAGATGGCGGATAAAAAACAAAAGAGGAAAACGTCTGCGGAAACAAAAGAAGGCTTAAGGCAAGAAGTAGGACCCGTGTAAATATCGGATCAGCTTTCCAGCACTGGAGAGAACTCAAGGAGCGGAAGGCCTGCAATTGGATGTCGAGGTTGCTTTGTTTCTAGGTGAGGTGAGTAACACCGTGTCTGCACCGCAACAGCTAAAGTCTGTCTACACTGGACGCGACAAAGCGACTGTTGAAAATCATTTGAAATTTGTGTCAATACGTCATAAATATAACGCAGCAGCAGTTTTCTGTCAGGAATTTGTCGTGCCGTGCCGCATCCAGTGTAGACCATAGATATGTATATATATCTATAGTGTGGACGGCATCACTGATTATAATGAGTTCTATAGTATAGTATTTTGTTGCGCCGCACCGCTCGCGTCCGGTGTAGACACGGTGTTACATTGGTTTTGCTTTGTTAAATTCACAGAACTAATCATTGCCTGGGTTGCGTACGTATGTGTGGGGCGGAGCTATCAAAATAGGGGCGAGACCCTTTCGGGGTAGGGGCGTGTTTGTTTTGGTGATTTCAAATGTCAACATTGGCTACCAGAAATCGCTTACCCCACCTTTAAGTGTTATCATATTTTTTATGCTCTTTAACAAACAGGTTTGTGATGTGATGATTAAAGAAGTATTGAACTTAAAATTAAACATTGAAAGGGATGTTTTTTTTTTTGTTTTTTTTTTAAGTAAAATGGTTTTTCAACCCTATTTAAGATAAAGGTTCTATATTGGCATTGATGGTTCAATGTAAAACAGACAAGATCCATGGAATCTTTCCATTGCACAAAAGGATCTTTATCATGGAAAAACTTCTTTAGATTTTCACTAAGTTTCACTGAAAGGGACTGTGAAGGGAAAAAATGGTACATAAAATGGGTGAGAAACAAAGAAACACAATTTTTGATACACAAAATCATGCATTTAAAATTAAATAGAATTTTAGGGCAATTCATATAAAACGTGAACAATAAATTGGTAAAAGAGCATATGCATAATACACTACCGTTGAAAAGTTTAAGAAGATTTTTAAATGTTTTTAAAAGAAGTCTCTTATGCTCACTAAGGCTACATTTATTTGACACAGTAAAAATAGTAATATTGCGAAACATTATTACAAATTAAAATAACTGTTTTCTATTTTTAAATATTTAAAAACGTAATTTATTCCTGTGATGTAAAGCTGAATTTTCAGCATCCTTACTCCAGTCTTCAGTGTCACATGCTCCTTCAGAAATCATTCTAATATGCTGACTTGCTGCTCAAGAAACATTTCTTATTATTATCAATGTTGTGCTGCTTAATACTTTTGTGGAAACATTGGGGTTACACTTTACTTGAAGGGGTGTGCATAAGACTGACATGGCACCTTCATAATCATGACATGACACCTACATAATCATGACATGACACGTGTCATGAATATGAAGGGTTTTTATGCATGTTTATAACAACTGTCATTAAGTGTCATTCGCTCAGTTATGTAATTTTTAATGCAAATATGACATTATTTGACCTAACCCTAACCTAACCCTTTTTTATGCATGTTTATGACAACTGCCATTAAGTGTCATTCGCTCAGTTATGTAATTTTTAATGCAAAGATGACATTGTTTGAGATGTCTTTGTTATGGGCTATGGTTAGGGGTAAGGGTAGGGGTAGGGTTAGGTTAGGGTTAGGTCAAATAATGTCATATTTGCATTAAAAATTACATAACTGAGCGAATGACACTTAATGACAGTTGTCATAAACATGCATAAAACCTCCTTCATATTCATGACATGTGTCATGTCATGATTATGAAGGTGTCATGTCAGTCTTATGCACACCCCTTCAAGTAAAGTGTTACCAACATTGGTTTTCAGAATTCTTTGAGTAGAAAGCTCAAAAGAACAGCATTTATTTGAAATATAAGTCTTCTGTAACATTATAAATGTCTGTACTGTCACTTTTGGTCAATGTAATGTTGGTCCTTGCTGCTCATTTCTTGCAAATCAAAAATCTTTCTAACCCCAGACTTCTGAACGGTAGCATAAATGTGCCAGTTGATCAAGGGCGAGTTCGTTAAACGCACAATGAACGTATTCTGCCTACCTGTTGAGGTGGTACCAGAAGTTGCCATTGTTTGGCTGTTCATGTGTGCCTGCATATGAGGGGGTGTGTATGTGTCGTAGCTTCGCCCATTCACGGACGGACTGGTGGGCAGCATGCAGGAATAGGAAGATGTCTGGCTTGGCTATAAAAAACAAGAATATATGTATATACTGTAAATATATAGCTTTTTAGTATCTATAACACAGAGGAGTTTGCTTTAAATGATGGAATGGGAGACATTTAAGGAGGCATCACACACAGCACATTAATCGAGTTATCAAGGGTAGAGGAGGAAACTTTGTAACGCTACTCACCTGCATAGACAGGTTGTTAGCCATTGTGAAGCTGGGCATCGGAGGCAAACCCGTGTACGTGTTGGTCAGAGCCGTGTCTGATCGGCCTAGCATGGACCCTGTTGTGAAGGACACTGGTAAAGACAAAAAAAATATCACATGGTTTACACATTTTATCAAGTAAATATAGCATACTCAAAAATGTCATCCTTTAGTTATGAAAGATTTCGATTATAATAGTTGGAGTGAATCTACCAAAATGTAAAGCCTTCGCACACCAAGTTTGACGCAGCTAAGTGATTGTTCTTTAATTATAGTTTGAATACTTTGAATTAACTGTTCTACATCCGATATTTGTTGAACAATATTTGTGTAACCCAAGGATGATGTTTTGTATACTACAAAATTATTTAAAATGATGGAAAAAGAGTTTATCATGGTTGAAGTGCTTTTCAAACGAATATTTATTTATTTTAGTTTAGTTCGTTTTTGTTTTAGTTAACAATGAGTTTGACAAAATGACAAAAGTATTTTATTATTATTATTATTATATTTTGTATACATACAAAACATTTAATATATGTAACAATAAATGATATAAATAATAAAATAAATAAATGTAATTAATATAAATAATAAAACTATTATAAATAATTACATTTTATTATATTATATTATATTTAGTGCTGTCAAACGATTAATCGCGATTAATCACATCCAAAATAATCGTTTTTGTTTACATAATATATCTGTGTGTACTGTGTATATTTATTATGTATATATATATAAATACACACGTGTGTATATATTTTTAAAATATTTACATGTATTTACATGCATATATTTATACAATTTATATTATATATAAATATATTTAATATATAAACATAACATTCTCTTCTTAAATATATATGTGCATGTGTGTGTATTTATATATCCATAATAAATGTGCACAGTACACACATATATATTATGTAAACAAAAAACTTTATTTTAGATGCGATTAATCGCGATTAATCACTTGACAGCACTAATTATATTATATTTTTAAGACTTATTTCAGGCGAAAAGGAATCTAACAAAAAGTTAAGCTTTTGATGCTAAATGACTCAAGTAGATAATTCAAAGCTATGTTCATTTTCGTTTTCATAATAAAAGATTGAATTAATTGTTCTGATATGTTGTACAATATTTGTGTAAAAGAGATCTAAAATCTTGTTTGCATCAAACATTTGGACTTTGGTGTGAAGGCATTATTGCATGTCTTATATGTTTAGGTTGTGGTGTGTCATTCACCAGGAGTGGTGGGTTGTGGGATTGCCTGGTAGACGCTTGTGTTGAAACTGCTGCTGATGGGAATGTGACTGGAGGAGTTGCTGGCTTGTCGTCGCTGGTTCCTCAGCTTCTCTTCCCTCCTCCATTTCGCTCTTCTGTTTGAGAACCATACCTGCGACACAGAGAAGATCAGCAGATGTAAACCATAGCAACAGTGAACATGCAGTAGATGCCCTGGTTTTAAAGTTGCACTAATCTTCTCACCTGTATTCTAGCTTCCGGAAGGTCGATTTTTGCTGCAAGTCTTTCTCTTGCGAAAACATCTGGATAGTGGGTTCTTTCAAACTCTAAAAACCGATGGGAAAGCGTGTTACTCTGTGTCCCTCAGCTGGGTATGGCAGACATTTGTTGTTAATGCTTACACTTGACGCTCACCTTTTTCCAGGGCTTCGATCTGCTCCTGCGTGAACGACGTTCTGTTTCTTTGCAGTTTTCTTTTCAGTTGCAGGCGCATTTGAGTCTCATCTGAATCCTCACCATTTGAGCTAATGGAGTTAGTGTTCTCACCACCATTGTCCTGTTGCTGGCAACCATCTGCAAAAAAAGAATGTAGAATTGTAGAACACACACACACACACACACCATATTTTCATAACCTTGAGTCAATTCACACCATGTTGCATCAGTGTTATTTTAGAACTATTTATATACTATTTAGTCATATTATTTTCTTAAAAAAAAAAATCATTTTAATTTAAGTTTAGTCAATTTTGTTATGTGCTTTGGTAATACTTTACAGTAAGATTCCATTAGTTGATGCCAGTTAATGCATTAACTAACAATGTGCAGTACATTTGTTATATAATTATTAATATTTGTTAACGTTAGTTAATAAAAATAAAGCTATTCTTTGTTAGTTCATGTTAGCTCAAGGCCATTAAATAGTACTAACAGGTACAACTTTTGATTTTAATAATATATTAGTAAATAATGAAATTAGCATTAACTAAGAATAATAAGTTTGAAGTTCGTGTTAAATAATATGCAAGTCACTAATGTTAACAAATGGAACCTTATTGTAAAGAGTTACCTGTGCTTTTGTCATTTTTATTTTTATTATCATTATTATTAAGTTAAATTTTTCTATATAGCTTAATTTGTATTTCAATTTTAGTTTTAGTACTTCAACTTAAGTGTATGTATTTCAGTTAGTTGCCAAGGCAATTTCTAAGTAGTTTAAGTTTAAGATTTTTATTTAGCTTCAATTCAATGGCCAAAAAATAATTAAAAAAATTGCATGACTGAGTTGCACAAATAATTTACAAAGTATTAAAAAAAACACAATAAATGAAATATAATAAAATATTTTATTTTGTTATTTTATAAAATGAGTGCTGTCAAATGATTAAAGGGGTCATATGATGTTGCTAAATAGAACATTATTTTGTGTATTTGGTGTAATGAAATGTGTTTATGCGGTTTAAGGTTCAAAAAACACATTATTTTCCACATACTGTACATTGTTGTTTCTCCTCTATGCCCCGCCTTTCTGAAACGCATTGATTTTTACAAA